ATATATATATATATATATATATATATATATATATATATATATATATATATAAGTTGGTAATAGACCATAATTTTTACAATATTCTATAAATTCTACCAAATGTTTGGCGTTAATATGTTTGTAGTTCGTTTTTTCGATTTTTCTCACTAAAGTTTTTTGGCATATGACATATGACTTTACATCTTTTATATATATATATATATATATATATATATATAAGATGTAATACCTACCCACGTATTAAAGTTTATAAAACTATTCGCACCATTTTTGGCAGACCTGATAAACAGCAGTTTAAATATGGGACAGTTTCCTTCTGGCTGCAAGCATGCTATCATAACTCCGCTGCTGAAGAAACATAATCTAAACGAAAATGATGTTGGGAACTACAGACCAATTTCTAATCTGTCTTTCCTATCCAATATTATCGAACGTGTGGTTGCCAGGAAAACACTCAGTTTCTTGAACAATAACAATTTAATGCCGAAATATCAATCTGGATTCCGTCAGTATCATTCGACTGAAACTGCTCTTTTGCAAGTTTTCTCAAAAGTGTACGGGCAATTGATGAACAAAATGTGGCAATGCTAGTTTTTCTTGATATGTCATCCGCATTTGATTGCGTAGATCACAAAGTACTTTTAACAAAACTACGTTGCAGTTTTGGAATCTCTGGTGCTGTTCTGAGGTGGTTTGAGTCGTATCTGGTAGGTAGATCACAACAGGTATCATTCGGTGGTAAATTGTCTGAGGTTAATGTCATGCTGTCTGGTGTGCCACAAGGTTCGGTTCTAGGTCCTATTCTATTCCTGATCTATACATCTGAAGTACTAAAGATAATAGAATCATTTGGTTTTTCAGGTAATGCTTTTGCGGACGACTTGCAAATTATTGTTACGAGCAGGCCAGATTCTTTTAAATCAGAATTGGACAAACTGGTTAAATGTTTGTTTTGGGTCAATAAATGGATGCAAAACAATGGTTTAAAACTAAACCAAAACAAGACTGTTATTTTACCAATTTGAACATGGTAGCAACTTTCAAGAATAGATATAAATTCAATAACTGTTAATGATGAGGTCATCCCATTTTGTCAGACAGCAACTAATCTGGGCTTCATGATTGATTCATGTTTGTCAATGAAACAACACATTAAGAAGCTCTCAGCCGAATGCAAGTTTCAAATCAGGAAAATCAATCAAATTCGACGATCCTTAGATACATCCACGTTGCAGACGTTGGTTCATGCATTTGTGCACTCACGCGTCGACTATTGCAACAGTTTGTTTTATGACTTACCTGATCAATCCATGGCTGTACTTCAATCAATACAGAATCGAGCCGCAAAAGTTGTTGTTGGGGCTCTAAAATACGATCATGTGTCTCCAATATTGAAGGAACTTCATTGGCTAACCGTCGACAAAAGAGTGTTGTTCAAAATATCAACACTTGTCTACAAGTCTATCAACGGTCTAGCTCCATCTTATTTGTCTGACAGGTTCAAAAAGAGATCTTTAAAAGCATCTGGAACACACTTGAGATCTGATGTTTCAAACCTGCTGTTGATCCCAACAACGAGTCTCCGTATAGGCTCTCGTAACATTGCTGTTTCTGGACCAACTGTTTGGAACAATCTGCCTGCTGCTCTCAGAAATCCGGACCTAAACCTGCGTGATTTCAAGAAGAAACTGAAAACTCATTTATTTTCATTGTAATGCATTATTGATAAATTTTTTCTGTTTAGTCGACATATTCTAAATATTATTTCGTATTTTCGTTATATTGAATCGATTACTTTTCTGTTTATGACCAAATTTTAATCTTATTTCTGTGCAATGTATTATGATTTCTCGTTTGTTATTTCAATTATGTTGTTAAGTTCAGTTTTTGTTAGATAGTGCTTTTGAGATTCGTTTAATTAGCGCTTCATAAATGTTTCAATAATAATAATAATAATAATAAATATATATATATATTTGCTCATTATAAATTGGAATAATTATCATAGATATTTTGGATATGGCATACAAATAATAATTTAATAATTTTAATAATAACTGTCTAATAATTTTTCCTTGTTCTATGGAATAAACAGTGCATAATTTGACGCGTTTTTTTTGTTGAGTACAGATTTCTTACTTCGCCAGCAATTAAACATCTTACTATAGTAATTTATTGTTAATTTTTAAACAAATTTTATAATTAAATGTAAATAAATTGACGACAAAAAGCAACTAGGACCAGTTAATAATTGATTGTTTACTTTAACTTAAATTCACTTTTCAACAATTATGTATATACATATATATATATATATATATACACATACATAACGTGTCTGTAATATCCTACTAAGAATACCTATACAAGCCCTTGAACGCACCATTATACATTTTCTGTGCGCTTTAGAGTCTGGTCTCACTCATCGTGATGTGAGAAGGAAACAAATAGTTATGAATTGTTAAGCTTGTAAATTAATTAGGGGGTTGTAAATTCATTT